TCCTAAACCTAAGGGATATATTTATAATCGTATCAAGGAAGAATGTTTATTTCATTTTAATGTAGTAGAGCAAATCTTACTTTTGTTGGTGATTTAACTCGAATTATTCAAAAATTTAATTGAATTTTCAAACTTCATCTATGGGAATTGGACTGCCCAAAAAAATGGTATAAATCGTAGAAAAATAATGTTCATTTGATATTGGAAAAAAAAAGAATTTGAATTATTTGGACACAACACTTCCCAAATTTTATTTTATTATTTTGAAATAATAAATTTCATTTTTATATTATTAAATATTTGTCGAAAAGACAAATTATTTAAGATTGTTTATTCCAAATAAATGTAGTAAAAAAAATACAGTAAGCTTTATATAATTCAGTGTATAATACTTTGTAATTTAATGGATACAACACCTCCTAAACCTAAGGGATATATTTATAATCGTATCAAGGAAGAATGTTTATTTCATTTTAATGTAGTAGAGCAAATCTTACTTTTGTTGGTGATTTAACTCGAATGGGGGAATAATGAAGACAATTTGGCTAATCAAAAAACCACAGCAGGTTCCGCACCTGCGAGCCGAGACGCGAATAATCGTTCACCTCTCTCCTCGTTCGTAGTTTCTGCCTTCTTTTACCCGTCGGTTGTAAAACTAAATAACATAATGGCAGTACGATTACGTCGTTTACAATTGCCCGGCACGAATTCCAACTTAATGGAGGAACGAGCGATTACCTTCAATTAGACACAGTACGTGATTGTGTGCGCAATTTAGGAAGCGATTTCGGAAATTTGATAAAACCTAAAATTACTGCTCAAATACTGGCACACATATATACAGACAGAGAGAACGCGAACCGATTTGGAATCCCGCAAAAGTATAGAATATTTAGGCATAATTGAAACGTTTAATGCATCGTTCGTATTGGGGAAACGTGCACAACGTATTCCACCCCCGGATCGATCAGGCCTAGAGGAAAGAGAGAAGAAAAAAATATGTGTGTGTGTGTATGTATGTAACAGAATGAATTCGGTTTCGCCCCTATGAAAAGAAGTTAATCAAGAAGCTGAAAATTTAATTTGGCCACTGCAGGATATACGAAAAACCTTTTGAATACCAAAACGGGCATTTAAATAAATTACACATCCTTGTTCCGCCCAACGTGCGTGTTTCCTTTCTTCGTTCTTTCTGTGCTCATTTTTTTCTTTCTCATTTATTTTTATTTTCCTCGCAATCAATTCTTGGGTCAAGTGCACTCGTTGTTTATCGAAAATTGCATAATCCGCCGGGATATCCCTGCCCTCGGATTGTATGCATGAGGTCGAAATCTACAAGGTATTAAGATATTCCCTTGAATATTTAATCCACGAGCGGAAAGACAATAAAGGAGAGGCAGTCGAAACTATCTGTTGTCGCCGTAATACGTTGAATAATTCAAACGGATTCGCCTCGGGAGGCTTGGATCTCGCGTAAAAAGGGTGACGAAAAAGGTCCTCCACCATTTTCAACCCCTCTCTTTTTCCCGACACAACACAAATTTTCGGCGCTTTTCGCACGGTTCTTACGTGAAATTACGATC